TTTTAATCCTGCTTTTCTGCATCCGCAGGCTTTACCACAGTTGTTGATTTTGCATTTACAGGATAAAAATGCCAATAGGAATTTTGGAGCTGGATCTGTCAACGTTGTGACTGGAGTAATGCCTGTTTTTGTTTTCTTCCAACCCCATTCTTCGGCATCTTTGGTACAACCAGACCAATGGTCGTTACCTGGTGATAAGTTCGCAATGAATGTGTCTAGCACGACAATTATTTATAAATTAATGATACGCCACTGTTTCATGACAAAATTGAAGAAACTAAACTAAAAATAGTTTTAGTGAACCCTAATCGACATTTGATTTAGGAAAATCGATTATACATATATCATACTTACTTTACGCAAAACTGTAAAATGTCCAGGAATTTTGTGCATAAACGGTTGACTTTAGCGAAAATTTTCCTAGAACCATTTTTATAGGAAATTTTATTCTCTTTAATTTTGCTCTCCACAAATGTTTGCGAAAAACACATAATTTTCGAGATATTTTCAAAATACCAATTTTGGGCGCCATCTTGGCAAGATGGCGGCGCCGGCGGCATGTCTGGAAATCTGCATTTTATGGATTTTAGTTAGGGACCCCAAAACCAATAAACCTACAAATTTTCAATACTTTCGGACTTTTTTCCAAGCAGGCCTTTTTTGATCCCCAATGACTGAACTATATGTCACCGACAGTTTGCAGTGGACATCAATTATTACATACAAGTAATAAGCGTGCATTTGCGCAAGATGGCGGAATTCCATACCTAATTTATTTAAAAATTAATTTTTTGTATAATTTTTTTCAATAAATGACAAAAAAATGACAGAAAATTCAATTTACCTTGAATTAAAATGACTAAAACAACTGTCACTGTAAGGCATCCTTTCGTTGGTAAGATTATAGTCCTAATCATTGATATAACAATGATTTCTTCTCTCAACTTTAAGAGCTTTTGAATAAAAAATGAATGCGTTCTTTTAATACCATTAAAATAATCAAGCATCAAAAATAATATTCATAGTTCTTACTTTTTATAAATTTTATCATGCACGATCTATTTTTTAACGAATCCAAGCTGCTAAAGGACCGATTATTTTAAACAAAGAAGGAAATATTATGTTATATAGCAATACCTCAAATATTTCCGCAATATATTTCTAGTTATGTTAAAAATATGTTCTAAAAATATCAGTCATATTTTTTCTATTTTTAAAAGTAATATAAGCAAAGCAAAAAGAGCCAGCGATACTAAATTGATATTTTCATATCGTAAATCCCGACAAAAAGAATCCGTGTGTCATACTTTGACAAAAATAGATGTAATAAAAGATACAGTGTTTTCTTGTGACCTATTTGCCTTTAAAAATAAAAATGTATGCTTCATTTTTTATTCATTTTTTTTCAGTAAATTTATTACAATTTGACGTGGAAATTTGTTTTACATTTCAGCGTTGTATTTTAATTAACAACTCTGAAGTTATTTTTCAAAATTTAGTAATATATAAAGTGTTGAAGGTTTATTTTTGAAACTTAATTATTAAAGCCCCTGTATTCTAGGTATCACATTATAAATCTCTCATAGTTTCATGCATTTATTTGTAAACATGCTCGATTGGGCGATTATTTTAAAACAAGGTGCAAATTGCTCATCAGAAATTAGATTTTATTTCAGTTCAATAACATATTTTTGGTACTATAATACAAAAAGTATTTTAAGTTAACGTCTTCTTTTTCTACTAAGGCTGATCTGGATGGGGCCTACTTTGTTTACTCGGAATCCGAACCGCGGTCCTCGGCCATATCATTGTCAATAACCCACCGACTTGGCGATTGTCTAATCAACACTTACTCACGAGATATCCGCTCTCAATCAATCTTTAACCGGCGTGAATGAGCAGTATGTGTCAATAGATTTTACAGTCTTGCCATGGAACAACCGTCGCCCATCCAAACTGCTCGCATCGCCTAACGTCGCTTAACTTCGGTGATCTATCGGAAACCGGTGTTTTGGCGTAACTGGTTGCTCACGTAAATTGTTTTCTGTCATTTTTCGATGTCATCTGTCGAAACCTTTCCTGGCTCATTGGGTGGACTTTACTTAATGAGGAGTACTAAAATATAATAGCAACAATTACACACGTTCAAACTTGTACGTCCAAAAAAACTGTACTACATGCTTTTTAAGCAATCGATATACAGCCAGAATATGATTTTAGTCGACCAAAAATTTTTAATGGTACTACATGTTCTATCGTCTGTGAGCCGTTTTACATTTTTATTGGCTTTTATACAATTAAAACTATTTTCAATGCTATTTATTAGCCCTGTCAACGGCTAGCAATCGTAAAGGCGAAATAGCTTTTTAATGTTTAGGAAATTCTCCGTATAATTTTATTTTGATCCCACACTTCGTAACGCATTTGTCTATAGCATTTTCCTTTTTGCTTTAATTATTAATAGCCTTACAGTTGAGGGGTTGGAACCTTTGGTGTTACACAACAAAATAAAACACTAAATCACCACAATACCAATAATTAAAACTCAACATTTTTAATCATCTGCTGATGACATGGTTACCGAAACGCGCGTCCAGTGTAAAAGTAAAAGTGTTTTGGTCTATTGTGGTGATAGAGTGTTTTTATTTTACTATTAATAGCCATTGAAAAGCCAAAACATCATTTTATGGATTTAAAAAAGTCGATTTTAATTTTTATTAAATAAAACCTCATTTAAATATAAAGCTACGTCTATATATAACTTTTTACCTGTCAATCTTACCTGTTCAGTCAAAACCTATCAAATAAAACCTTGTGTATACCGGGTGCGTCTCAAAAGTGGCTCACCCCTATAACTTTTTTATTTTTTCAGATAAAACAACGAGATTTAGTATGTTAGTATATGACATAAATTGGGATTGATTGACGTATTCAATTGTTTTCGGTCACTTCCGGTTTCACCGGAAATGACTACAACTTTTGATTTTTAAATGGCACCCACGGTATTTTTTTACTTTATTCGATAGAAAATGACACTCTGAATCGAATGACATATCATACGTCAATTTTTGACATAGTCGCTCAAAAACAAATTCTATTTTAAATTTCAATCTAAATGCCATGGCTGTGTTAAAAACTAATTTTTAATCCAAGGAGCCTTGGAAAATAGATTTGATCGTCCAATGTTTTTAGTGCCTTGTCCTGGCCCGTTAAAAGATGCCCAAATCGTATTTTAATCATATCTCAATTTTTTCAAATGGAACGAGGGTGGCTCATTAGCATATTTGGAAAAACATTTTTACGAATAATTTGATACCACACACTTGGTATTTTGGGTCAAATTGTCGTTATATGAACCGCATGTTACAATTCCAAATAAACCATAGCTAAAATGTCAAAAGTTGACATATGATATGTCATTCGATTCAGAGTGTCATTTTCTATCGAATAAAGTAAAAAAATACCGAGGGTGTCATTTAAAAATGAAAAGTTGTAGTAATAATCAATCCCAATTTATGTCATATACTAACATACTAAATATCGTTGTTTTATCTAAAAAATAAAAAAGTTAATAGGGGTGAGCCACTCTTGAGACGCACCCGGTAGATGAAAAATCGGTCCGTTTTACTTGACTTAACTACATTAAGACGGAAGATCCTCTAGAGATCTGATGGAAAGATTCAATTTTACCACAAAACTGTCGTTTTGGCCCAGCGGCGGATACAGATGGGGGGCCCATGGGGCTCTGGACCCCCCTAAAAACTAAAAAATTAGTAAATTGTGTTAAATATTAGGCTTTTTTGTTAAAAATTGATCCTAAAAAGCCAATTATATATTACTTTTTCGATTTGGCCCCCCCTAAAATAAATTCCTGTATACGCCCCTGGTTTTGCCTACATTGAAAAAAAAAACAGCATCTTTAATAAGCGACTTTAAAAATCTACTATTTTTGCGTAGTTTCACAAAATAATGTAATTTTTCAAAATTGCTTAAGAGATATTTAAAGATTATTATCGAACGATCCTATTTTCACAAATATCTTTGCGTGTTTACGAATGAAATTTAAACCATTACAATTATTTTGATGTAAAATTCCATGTTTTTCTTCTTTTGAACTTCACTGAACATAATGGTATAAATTTACAATAATCGCTGGACAACAAGCTATCATCATAACAATAGTCAAGTTCAAAAAATCCTTTGGTTGAGGATCCTTCTTTGACATTTCAAAAATTGAAAATAGAAAATAAGGTCTGTTCAACGAATCAGGGAAGATTTCGACAGATGACATCTAATAATACAAATTACAGAAAATTCAATTTACCCTTGAATTAAAATGACAGATATCAACTGTAACTATCAGATATCCTCTCGCTGGACGAACTATATATTTCTTTTATCGATATCTATGACCTAAATATGTTTATTTGTTTAATAAACATCATGTGCATCCTTTCAATTAAACATATTTGAATTATGTAGGGATGAATTGACGAAATATATGGAGTCGAGAGGGGCAACGAGAAGTCAGGTGTTTAGTCTTGACCACGATGTTAAGCAAACCGACTGGACAAATATTCCGGGAATGTTACAAGAGAACTCGAACGACACGTGGAGGAGTGTCATCCGGACAGAAGGTGACACTCCAGCGGTCAAATCCGGTATTTATAAAGATATAGCTGTAAGTTCATGTACCAGAGCGATCAACAATGGTTAGATTCCGCGGATTTACCGTGCGGGATACGCGGGATCGACACATTACTACTGGGTAACCGAATCGATCGCGATCAGGTCAACCGCTTCGTTCGGAGCGGATGCGTCGACGCTCGGAACCCGGGGATTCCCCTGCAGCAGCCATTAAAAATAAATTAGAGAACAAACAAGGTTTGGATTGTTAGATTTCTTTCTGGCATGTTTCTGGCGAATATAAGAGAAGTGAAGAAAAGCGTTTAACTAATTGCTGTGGACAATTTCGTCAAATAAACTGCCGGACATAATTATCGGACAAGCAAAATTTTAGGGGTAAATTTAAGTTGAATATCTCTTGAACTAAAAAGATTTTGGGATGCGGTTTGGACCAGGTATTAGATGCATCTATTGTGATTAAGATGCAATGTGGTTTTCGAAAATATATTTAGCGAATTCTCGTATACAGGTTTTTTTATACGAGTGGGAAAATTTGGTTAAGAATCTTTTTTACCGCAAATTTACAATTTTTAAAAAATCGAAATTTTTACCAAGTACGACTAATTGGGCCTATGCAAAGCGTACAATGCCTTTTGTACCATTTAGGACCAAATGTATTTTTTGTATTTTCTTGAGATTTTGGTGCAGGATTGCATTCCCTAGTTGGCAATACTGTGTTAGAGGATTTTAAGATTACTTTTCTTTTTCTTCTTGTAAGTTTTAAATGTTTTAACTTTGATATTTGTCAAATCGTCATATTTCTCAGTGTAAAATATACTATTTTCAATACAACTACAGTGTTCAACATAAAAAAGGAATATTAACATGATGTATTTTTGTCGCGGTATTCAATACAAGGTAAAAATTGAATGTAATCGGCGAAGTAACTTTTATTCAATTCAGAATTGCCTTTATTGAGCAGAGTTTAAGAATTTATTAAATATCTAAAAACTAGTGATGGGTTAACACGAGCGAAAGATTCGCTCGAGTACTCGATATTGAAATAACCGACATCGCTCGATTACTTATGAACGAAGCTATGCAAGTGACGGGATTACGAGCGACGAACGCAAACGATCCTAGAATGAAATAAATTGAAATCCGATTTTAATGTGACATACTCGATAAAAAGCCGAGCGAATTTTCTACATACATTGCAGGTAGCAAATTTATACGACGCCGTATATATATTTATCCGTTGCGTATCTGAGGGACAACATTTTACGACCTACATCGACAATGCTTTGAAATAAAACTAAATCAAGCGATCAAGCGAATCGCTCGTCGCTTGCTACTTGCCATTCATTACTGAATGAATATGTGCCCTGCGCACGTAACTTACTGCTTGGCGTTAACGAGTACTTACAACAAGCGACGGACAAAAAACCGTATTTTTAAATACGAGCGATATTTCGCTCGAGTGATCGCTCGGTTATTGCAATCGCTTGAACCTCGAATACTCGATTATTGAAATTTATCGGTTTTTTCCATCGCTACTAAAAACGTATAGTTGGACGATTTCAAAATATTGTTAACCAGAACTAGCAAAAGAACATTTAACAATATAATACGCGTATTATAAGGGTAAATTTACCTTCTAAATTTTTAATTTTATTACTACTGATTCCAAATGCATAATATTTTATATTACATACCTTTTAACAAATATTTTTTTGGAATAAAACTAATTTATGATACATAATATGCATTTCATTGTCAAAATTTATTAAAAGAACATAACCTAACCTATATTTTTATACTTTAAAAAAAAAACTTCAGATCAAATACATTTATTTCTCATCTCGTTTTGAGTAGTATCACTATTATGGAAAACTAGGTTAATTATCATTCAAAATTACTCATATTATTTACTATTTCGATTATTTTAGCGCTAGTGATAACAGCTGATGGCAACCAAATGAGCAAAGTCACAATAGCCAACCATTTCAATCATTTTGGATCGTTTTATATAATAATATTATAAATTATTGATGTGCCTTACAGTTCTTAGTTTTGACTTAATTATTTAGGCCACTTGCACAGCTACTAGAAGACAGAAGGAACTTGAACTACAAGTATTAACTGGTCCTGTTAGGGGATGGGAAGGACCTAGTCTTACAAGTTTAGGTAATATACCCGTCTTGTCCTAGCCCCAAATTTATTGATATATTCTTATGGTTATTATATGAACATTCTTCTTTCTTTGCTAGGTGAGATCATCTACATGGGAAGTGTAGCAGTTGGATCAAATCATCACGACAGAATTTTTGTATTATTTCCCACCACATTAGTTATACTCTCAGTCAGTCATAGGTTAAGTGCCTTTATCTATGAGGTAAGCTTTAATTTTGCGTTTTTTTGTGATTATTTAATATAATTTCTTGTATATTTTATTATTGGTTTTATACACAGTATATAAATCAGGAAAACCATTGCATCAGGTCTTAAATTACAGAAGCTTACTGTAAATCTAAGTAATAAGCTTCGAAAATGGTTACTTATGCATCGTGCGATCGTTCCCAAACTAATAACATGAAAAATAAACAAACAAATTTTCAGTAGTAGGTAATTATACCGTATGATCGAAAATAACGGTGTCAAAGACGGCTGGGGAATAACAATCAATGATAATTTTGGCTGTTTTCAATCTCTAGATGTATTTTACTAAAAATTGACATAAAACTTTTGACATAAAAATTGACATAAAAGTTGACAACAAACTAACAAAAATAAACACTAATTCTAGTTCCAGGCACACAAATCTATTTCCATAAAATTAAGCCATAATTTTTATTAATTTTAACTTACCATTTAAATTTTTTTATTTTTACTCAATATAAAAATTAGTTACAACCTTCTTTAGACCAACTGGCAGTAAGCGCCAATAAAAAATAAAGAGGGGTACGGGCTAAGTAAATGACGTCTAGAGCTTAACCTCCCCAAAATTATTATCGATCGTCATTCCCCGCCCCGTTTGACGCTTTTTTCTATTATATGGTATAATATGTATACAGGGTAACTCGAAACTTGATATCTCGAAAACTAGAGAAGATACGAGGATAGTTAAATTATGGCAAAGTTGTGCATTGATATGCCGTTTAGAAACATTTAAAATTCAGGTAGTTTCGTAGATATTCGAGAAAAAATTAAAATTGAAGATTTTAATTTTTATTTTATTTTTCTGGCTTAAAACGGCCATTTGATAAGGCTAAAATAAAACTAAAAGCAAAATTTCATTGTCACTTTTCCCTAATCTACACACAACGGTGTTTTCAGTTTTGTCATCCGGCGTTTCGTCTTTTGACCACTATCATCAACTTTGTTTTTCTTACAGACGCCATATTAGAGATTTGCAAATCTAAATAGATAAATTCATTGCCATTCTAACGATGTACAAGTTATGAAAAATCGTTTTTTTTTTTAATAGACGGCTTTGGTTGCTTGAAAGAAAATCGCTACCATGTTAAAACTTTATTTTAAATCGAAACCCCTTGGTCTCGTAATTTTTTTCAATTGTATATTTGAAATATGGAATCAGAATAGAAAAAAAAACAATAATTGCTTTTTTTTCTATTCTAATTATTTATTATCATACTTTATTTGTTACTACGGTTTTTTTTCCTAAGGGAAAATTATTCCTTTCCACGGTCTTATAGTCACCCGCTTAGAAGACACGGACGGAGTAAAAAACGCCTTTGATATTAGCGCTCCTATGATCGACAAACGTATTGTCATCTGTCAGAGTCGTTAGAGGAAGCTGATCATTGGGTGGAAATCCTGACTAGGCAACAAGGATCAAGATCATCCGTCTCTTCCACTGTAAGCCACAAAGTGCTGCCCAGCCAGAGCTCAATACGTGCCTCAGCCGCCGCCGCACGTAAGTTAAAACTTTGTATCGCTTTACAGTTAAAAAAAACGAACAAATTTTTCGTTAAGCCCTGTATATAACGCTTTACCTGTCAGTTAAAAGGGAAAACCCTCTAGTGATCTGACTGTAGTTTTGTAGTAGGTATTCAGTCTTTGTCCCGTTAGGTAAGACGGATTTAAAACTAGAGCACACACTTGAAGTTTTACTTGAGTTTTATTAATTATAGCATTGTGTTTAGTGAATTTGAAAAGAAGAAAAATAATATAGAATTTTACTACAAAATTGTATTTATCGTTTAAATTTCATTTATAAACACGCAAAGCTAATTGTGAAAATCAATAACGTCAAGTCTCTAAACAATAATTTTCAGTTACAATATTTTGTAACTGAAATATTAAATTTTATGAGTCACTACTTATTAAAGAGACTGTAATATATTCATATTATTTTTTTTATCTACTTATATTTTTTTCAGTGTAGGCGAAAGTTTTGTTGTAAAACTGAATGATCAAGTCATTTCTCTAGATTATAGTCTTCCATCTTAATTCAGTTCAAGTAAAACGTCGTTTTTTTTTTCGTTTACACATATGGTTTTATTTGATACGTTTTGAATGATCAGGTAAAATGTTACGTGTAGACGGCTCTTTAGATATTTACGGAAATAATGGAAAAATTGTGTAATTGTGCAGATTTTATTGCATGCCTGTTTTGTTGTCTACATCAAAAACATCTAACTAAAGGGGAGACGATTCATAAAACACTATTAAATTTGTTTACAAGCATACATACTTTAACACTTTTATATAAGTTAAAAAGAAATGAAAAAAAAATAAATAAATAAATATGACAACTATGTTTAGTTTCGTTTATGTTTCGGTCTACAAGTGGCGTGCTGCTTTTTATCAGCAATCGTAAAACGTAATTTAAATCTAATTTTTTATTTATAATACACTAAATATCTGTCTGGTCCCTTAATCTGCGTGGCCTGGATTTTAATGCATGCGACAGAGATAAATATAAATGATCGGTTAACAGACAGAGAGACAAAATAAAAAGCAGAGTACAGTGTTGCCGGTTTTTACGTTTGTAGGAAAATGTGTGTAGAAAAAAATAAACTATTTTAAAGACACTTTCATGTATACATACTACTGAAATTGAGATAATATATCTAAGCTAAATATGATCTATTACAGCTATAGTAAAATGAGTAACTAATTGTGAAAAATAAAGTTCCAACCCTAGATGCAACAACCCTAGTGCGGTTTGAAATTTTGATGCAAAATCCGGCAATACCGCATAGAAGAAATGTCACAACCCAACTTCTATCTCTTTTTAGTGCATTTGATTTTTTTCTTAAGCTACATCAATCCACATCACTGTCGTACACGTTAAAATCCAAACCACGCAGTTTCGATGACCAGATCGTTATAATGTAATATAATATAATATAATTATTTCTTTATTGTACGAATAGTACATGAGAATTCAAAATTTGAAGTCCGTAAAAATCGTATAGGTATAATTTTATTTTCAAAAATGCTTTTTTGTAAGGACCTCCTTAAAACTTAAATTAGGTACACCACTGTTAAACCTAAAAAATACGTAAAAGTTACTTACCGCCGAAATATCAATTTGGGTATAAATATCAATGATCCACCTTTATGCAAACTAAACACTGGCTAATCGTCTTAGATATTCAAAAATACTTTAAACAGTTCCTTTGCAAAGAAAAACAGTAAAAATTACTTGAAAAACACAAAATTCACAAACACTGCGAAGCAATACTGTTAAACATAATTTGAATGGATCCATCAAAAGTGGGCGCCATTTTTACTATTC